TGCTCCCCCAGCTTCTTCCAGGACAGCATCTGCTCGGGCTCCTGTGCCAGCCCTTGGCAAGAGAACAAAGGCCCCTTCCTCCCAGCACGTTCCCCAGCCCACGGGCAGGAGGGAGGCCTCTCCGTGGACAGGGTGGGTCACGTGGGACAGGGCCTGCATGACCCGGGACAGGGTCTGGGGGCAGCAATCAGCTGGCGACAGGCTCCCCCAGCTTCTTCCAGGACAGCATCTGCTCGGGCTCCTGTGCCAGCCCTTGGCAAGAGAACAAAGGCCCCTTCCTCCCAGCACGTTCCCCAGCCCACGGGCAGGAGGGAGGCCTCTCCGTGGACAGGGTGGGTCACGTGGGACAGGGCCTGCATGACCCGGGACAGGGTCTGGGGGCAGCAATCAGCTGGCGACAGCCCCGCTGGGGCGCCTGCTTTGCCCTAGGCCTCTGGCCCTTCCACAAGCATGGCCAGGTGGCTCTGCCGCGTGGCCAGGTGCCCACGTCAGGCCCTGCTGGGGGAGCTGTTCCACCCAAGCCTCCAGCTTCAGCCCCAGCCAATGCGCCCTTCGCTCTCTGGGCCGGGACTGTCTCCTGCTGCGCGTGGGGGTTTCAATGCTGCGTGCAGGGAGGGGGCCCTGACTGCCTGGTACTGGGAGCTCCCCCTCCCCTGCGTCCTTACGACTGGAGGTTTTGGGGGGGAGGGAACTGGCTAGGTAGAGGAGGGGGATCAGTGCTCATGCCAGAGGGTTGGTGCGGGGAGCGGAGTTGGGGAAAAGGATGGAATTGGGGGGAGGGAACAGAGGTAAAATGGGGGCAGAGCCTGGGGTGCCGATGGAGAGGGAGTCCAGCCCCTACACTTCTCTTGCCATGGCTCTGCTCACTGGGGGTGTAATTTACAACTGCCTTAAACTTCCTGCCTGCCTCCCACGCCCTCACCCCTACCTCTCATTGCTGGGTTTGCAGTCACAGCAGGGTAGTATCATTGTGCTCTCAAGCCCTCTAAGTGTCCTCTGGGAATGTCCAGCCCCTGCTCCCGTGCTCCCCTGCAATATTTACTACAACCAAAGGAACGGTTCTGCCTCCGAGCACTGGTCCGCTCGGCACTTACATACGTGCATAGTGAAATCAGTGGTCAGTGTAACAAAGCAGAGGTTCACGTGGAGTTCTGGGGAACAAATGGCTACATACAAAATAAAATCGTAACGTGTTCTAGAGCCTGGACGTATTTAACAAGCTTAGGAACTCATAGGCCCAGGGCTTTGGGGGGGGGGGCTCCCGGGACAGGGCACTGCAGCAACCCCCCCAGCCAAAGGGGCTCAGGACTGGGGCAGGGCTGCCTCCGTGGGCTCTGCCACCCGTTCCCAGTGCCCCGTGACCGGCCCAGCGTCGCTTCCCAGGGAGAGCGCCCCCCATGCAGCCAGCTCCTTCAGTGCCACCCTCTGCAGGGCACCCAGGTCCAGGCTAGATCAGTGCTTCTCAACCAACGGTACACGCACCCTTGGGGTACTCGAGAGACGTCTGGGGAGTACACCACCATTTGGAGAACACTGACTTTTTGTTTTACGTTTTACAGCGTTTTCTTAGTTTTGTACTTTTTACACCCAAACATTTAATTGCCTGCCCAGCTACAATTAAGTTGTTTAAACAAATGTGTTGCAATGGTAAAAAAAAAACCCCTATATGTCTGAAAACCGTGGTACTGGGGGTACTTGTAATTTTTTTTACAGGGGTACTTTATAAAAAAAGAGGTTACGACACACTGGGCTAGCCGGTTCAGGGCCTCGCCCAGTGCTCCATGGTTTGTCCTTTCGCAGACCCACAGAAACACGGGGCTGGAAGGCCCCTCATAAAATCCTCAAGTCCAGCCCCTGTGCTAAGGCAGGACCAGGTTAACCAGGACTGTTCCTGGCAGGGATTGGTCCAAGCTGTTCTTTCCTTCCCCCCCCCCCACCCCCACCCCAGAGCTTGTTCCAGAGCTTAACTCCCCTGAGGATAGGACGTTTCTCCTAGGGAACCTCCATCTCCCATTGCAGCCTGTCCTGCCTGGGGCAGGGGGGATAGGGTTGCCCTTAGAACAGTGGTTTTCAAACTGTGTATTAGTGACCCCGTTCCCACTGCAAAACTCTCTGCCTTGGACGTTAAAAATGGAGGGACGATTTAATGTCGTGGGAGCTTGGTTGGGGCTGAGAGCCCCCCGGAGCCAGCTGCTGGCATCCCCGGTCGGGTCCCAATGCCCAGTTTGAGGGCAATACATCTGAAGGGTGCTCTCTGGCCCCCCTCCCCCAGACGTCTCTCCCCAGCACTGAACACGTTCTGGTTGTAACCTGGTCGGTTGTTTTCAACCTTCACTCAGGTTGGTTGCGGCCCCCCCCGGACTTGCCACGTTGTCCCCCTGGCGAGCGGTGCTCAGAATCGGCCAGTTCTCCAGCTGAGACCGGCAG